TTTTTTTAAAGTCTCAAAAAGATAAGCCAAGAAACAATTTCCTTGTAAATCCACATCCTGATAAATATTGCAGTTAAATCTAACAAATCTAAGCAACTCCAGTTTAATAAAAGATAGGTATAATAAAACTGACATAAGTCTATTAATGCCTTCAGGTCTACAAAAATGGATATGGAACCAGCAGTCAAAAAAGGTTTCCTTGCTGAATTACTTTCAAGTACAAACAGAGAGGCAAAACACATAAACAATAAAAGTAAGATTTTCATAGATCACCTCGATTATCTCGATTACCTTGATTAGAACTTGAAAAACAAGAACTGAATTCAACAGTTTCTGCCACTTCTCAAGGAAATGTATCTTCTTGAACAACTCGGTTTCTCTTCTGTCCAGAACTCAAGAGAAGGAAAGATTGAGAAAGTGCTGCTATCTTATTGAATTAGGAATTAGGCTATCCATTTGTAATAAAAAGTTTAATATTCAATAAACCAGAGGCAAAGAGTTGAACTAATTAGACAGAGGTTCCTGCCTAAAGCCACGACATCTACTATTGTATGTTGTTTTCTTTTTTAAATGTGGGTGTTGGATTAACTTGTATGTAGCTCAATTAATTTTACAAGTTCTGAAGTTAATGATTATATAAGCCTTTAATTGCCTTGAGATTTATAGGACTAGAATCAATAATCTCTAAAAAACAAATTTAAAATTTGACCAATTAAGTTACATTTCCTTAAAGTTAATAAAATTTCTTGAATTTATAAAAAAATAACTTTGAAAGGCTTCTTAGTGTTAGTTAAATTGTTTAAAAGGCATGCAAATATTTCATTTTCTAAGTTCTTATCAATACTTTTTTAAAAATTTAAATATATTGTTTTCGAGGACATGCTAGTATTTAATAAAAATTCTAATTAACTAGTCTAATACAATTATTTTTTTTCATCAAAGATAATAATGCTTTAATTAATATCAAATAATTCCTACTTTAACCCATGTCTTCATGTAAAAATACTGATTTTGCATCCAAGATACTTTATGAATTTTGAACTACCAAAGCAATAATTAATTTAATTATATCATGTCTTACAACCATAGAAAAAACTTCTTGACATTGTACTCTTTATATTGTAATCTAGCTTGAAACATTTAGCTACCAAGTGTTTTTGTTTTCTTAATGATATTTTCAAAAATCATAGGATAATATAAAAAAATAAGTAAGTAGATTATTAGATTAATTAATTCCAATTATTTCATAATTATTCATCTATATAGATCTTTTTCTAACACATGATCTTTAATTATTAGATATACTTTGATTATCTAATAGTTGTAGTGTTTTTCTGTATAAGTTTTTTTATTATTTTATTATTCTCATCATCTAAATTCACTATAATATTTTTTTTAATATCATTATTACTCCATGTCTAAAATTTAGCTTTATAAAAATATAAGTTTTTGAATAATCACTCATAGTAAGGAAAATATATTTTTCTCCCTTTTTATCAAACTTTTGTCTCTTTTGATCCGAGATATGAGCAATTGAAAATGTACCTAAAAATTCTTAGATGTTTTATTGTCAGTTTTCATCCACTCCGAGATTCTTTTAGTGTCTTATCCTAGATGAAAAATATGAGACTTTAATTAAAAATACAAACACTTCAATTTACTACTGGTAGACTATTCCTTGTCAAAAGAATTTGAACTATATTTATATTCATAATAGTATAATTTTTTCTTTTGTAAACTTTATTTGCTTTGATATCAATGGTTGAAAACACCAAGGATATAAATATTTAATTTTTTGATTTAATATTTTTTAAAATTTAAAAATTTTAAAGACTCTGACCGTTATAGTTTTTATAAAAAGGTTATTATAATCTTATAATAACTCAAACTAATTAGTTAAAGAAGATTCTGATTAACTATTCTTACACATCAAAGGTTGAAAACACCACAAAATTCTAATTAACTAGTCTAATACAATTTTTTTTATCAAAGATAATAATGCTTTAATTAATATCAAATAATTCCTACTTTAACCCATGTCTTCATGTAAAAATACTGATTTTGCATCCAAGATACTTTATGAATTTTGAACTACCAAAGCAATAATTAATTTAATTATATCATGTCTTACAACCATAGAAAAAACTTCTTGACATTGTACTCTTTATATTGTAATCTAGCTTGAAACATTTAGCTACCAAGTGTTTTTGTTTTCTTAATGATATTTTCAAAAATCATAGGATAATATAAAAAAATAAGTAAGTAGATTATTAGATTAATTAATTCCAATTATTTCATAATTATTCATCTATATAGATCTTTTTCTAACACATGATCTTTAATTATTAGATATACTTTGATTATCTAATAGTTGTAGTGTTTTTCTGTATAAGTTTTTTTATTATTTTATTATTCTCATCATCTAAATTCACTAGAATATTTTTTTTAATATCATTATTACTTCATGTCTAAAATCTAACTTTATAAAAATATAAGTTTTTGAATAATTACTCATAGTAAGGAAAATATATTTTTCTCTCTTTTTATCAAACTTTTGTCTTTTTTGATCCGAGATATAAGCAATTGATAATGTACCTAAAAATTCTTAGATGTTCTATTGTCAGTCTTCATTCACTCCGAGATTCTTTTAGTGTCTTATCTTAGATGAAAAATGTGAGACTTCAATTAAAAATACAAACACTTCAATTTACTACTGGAAGACTATTCCTTGTCAAAAGAATTTGAACTATATTTATATTTATAATAGTATAATTTTTTCTTTTGCAAACTTTATTTGCTTTAATATCAATGGTTGAAAAAACCAAGGATATAAATATTTAATTTTTTAATTTAATATTTTTTAAAATTTAAAAATTTTAAAGACTGTGACCGTTATAGTTTTTATAAAGAGGTTATTATAATAACTCAAACTAATTAGTTAAACAAGATTCTAATTAACTATTCTTACACATCGAAGGTTGAAAACACCAAGTGCACAAATATTTAACCTCCCAAGAGATTACAACCTTTAACTATTTTAATCTGATTCTAATTAACAAATCATTTTTTATCAAGATTCCTATTCACACGGACAGAAATTCCATCCCAAAACTCTTTAAATAATACACAAGTGAACTTCTCAATAAATCATCTGATACCCCTTTCAAAGAGTCTGAGTTCTTTATTCATCTTATTTACATTTTCTAGAGAAGCTTGTATATATGATATGCCAAAAACCAGTAATAAAAATTACTAACAGAAGAAGGGGAAAGAATAAGATTTTTCTTGTCACCGAGTTTGCCAGCATAAACAGGGTGGAAAAACACGTTTTTACTCGTCTTGTTTCAATCAATAAATGTAAGACTTCAATCGACATACACGAATTCAGAAGTTTCTGCCACTGCAGGCACAAGTAGAAACCTAGTGATTTTGAAAAACTTTTTTTCTCTTCTGATATGCAAATGGCAAAGAGAAGGTAGGGGCCGGGTAGCGTGTCAGAAGTCCTGTCATATCATTGAATCACACCATCCATGATTGGTGATGCGGGATACAGTATTCAGCTAGTCATATCAATAGTCTATGTCATATGGAGGATTTGAAGTTCATTTCTTCAAGAAAAAACTGTTGGGAGTTATGAATCATGCATTTTTTCTTAATTAAGAAAAAAAAAGTTTTTACTTCTGATCTTTCTAGTAAAAGAAAAAAAGTAAATAATAGATGTAAATACAAATATTTTACTTGAACTATTATTTTTATTTGATATATTTTCATTTATTTTATTTTAAAAGTTAATCCTGATTTTCAAGAATAAATAATTTTGATTTTTATAAATGATCGTGCAAATATAACTTACGAAAAGATTTAAACAGTGCTATACTTAGTTCACGGTTTGATTTATACGCAAGATCAGACAAGAAGATACAGTACATGGATCATGCAAACACGAATTCAACTCTATGCCAGCATTGGCTGGTAGCCTTCCTCTCTCCCCTTCTTTAGCCGAGAATGTACAGTGACAGCAACAGCTATTGCCATTCCGAACATAGCTATAATTGCAACCGCATATGTGGATCCTTTCATGTTTACATGCATCTGTAAGAACCAAGAAAATCAATGGTTTTCAGTTGTCAACAATCCAAAATGTTATCAACATCGTTTTGTGAATTCTTCTCCATGTT